CGCTATCCTTGACCAAACATGATCTAAAGCATCGATCACGCATTAAGCATTTTCGAGTCTAATTTATTGTAGAAATGCACAATTATGATTAATAAATTAATAGAAATGCATCTTAGAATTTTCATTTCGAGATCCTTGAATAAACATAATCCAAAGCAGCGATCATGCATTACTATTATTATATCTAGTTTAAGAATCTCTCTATCTTAAATTGTACACTGGAAACAAATGTTGGAATTTTTCTTTCACGATCCTTATCGAAATATGACGCATTGACAACTCACCCCTTTCCATGTCTTCTACCTTTGAACCATTCGCCAGTATACATGTAACGATTCTCACTGTCGACCATGATTCCTCTGCCGTGTCTATATCCATTTACAAAATCGCCCTCGTACCAACAAATACTGTTCCATTCCAATAAACCTTTTCCGTGCATCAGATTCCGTTGGAATTCTCCCTGTGAAAATAATTAGACAGCACGTCACATATATTTATAGAGAGTAACTCAGCAGAAAGTAGTATTAGAAACATGTTAAAACGATTTAATTACTTTGTACTGTGCTCCATTGTTCCACCTGTAAACTCCCTCGCCTTCCATCATTTTTCTACTAACTCGGCCATTATAACTATTGTTATTAATAAACTTTATATTCGCCAATTCATCCCTCAGTGTTAATTTCCACGTGCATTTATCGGATTTATTAGATCCAGTATTGCTGGACTCGTCTAAATTATTCCCTTTCGATGAGATGGTATCATAGTAATCACTGATATCGTAATTCTCATCGTAGTAGCATGCCTCCTTAACAGAATCATCGTCGACTCTTCTGGGTTTCTTTCTTATGTACATACCGTCCCATCTACGTTCACATACTTAACGAAGCTATTATATTTCACAGTACAGTAAATTTATAATGCAGAAATGAGTAATGTACGTAATTACCCTTCGATAAAATATTGTAGAACGTCATTATACAATAGGTAGATGAATTCTTCTGTGGCGTTGTATCGACGCCGCTTCTCAGCGAGAATGTCATCGAACGGTAATTCGTCGAGCTCTTCAGGTTCTCGTTCTTCGATATGTTCGAATCGCTCCTCTTCTTCCTCTTCGTATTCTTCTAGTACAATTTTTTGTCGACATTTTTGCAAAATGTACTTTTTTAATTCGGCTCGAGCACCCATCGCTTCATATAGTATCTCATCAATTTAAATACGACGTTCGTCGATCTGCATATTAT